CATTTATTAGGAATAAAGACTTCTGAGTTCTGGTGCATTTGTGGGTGTGGGGGTCATTATGTTACCGCTATGTGGTATCTAGTTAATTTCATAAAAAAAGCAACAACAAAACATTACAAATAAAATAAAATGAAAGGCAGCAGAAGAATAAAAAGATATTATATCTGCTCCTATTTACAAAAAATATATATTAATTTCAAACAATAATAAGCCAAACAATAAAACAAAACAAAAATTTAACTCCTCAAACAGTAACTCATACAAACTAAACAATCATATTTCTTTAACAAATTTGCTTTGATAATTTTTTTAAAGAAATTAATTGATCCAATGCTTTTATAATAACTTTCCAGATTATTCCATAGTCTTATACCTTTTACTGAAGTGCATTTGTCCTTCAAATTTGTTTGGATTTTCGGTTCAACAAACATTTTCTTATGCAGGCAGTGATTACCATGTAGAATTACATCATGAGAACTATCTGAGCAGCGCAGTTCAAATTAACAACATAAGATCATCATAAAACTTCCAGCAGCCAGCCTTTATTTAGGCAATATCTTTTAGGTTTTGTAGTTTTTTTCCCACCTCTCAGTCAAACTGATGTTTTGATTCATCTGTAAATTACTCCTGTGAGCGTCTGTCTCCACTGTTCCTGTTAACTTTCATTTCTTTTTATAGCATCTTGTTGCTCTTTGGCCATTAGTTATTTTTAATTTTCAGCGACAATAAGAGGAAGTTGTTTCTGCAGAAAATATGAAGCAGATAGTTTGATAAGTCAGTGTGCAAACAATCATCATTGATAACACTTGGCCTTTCCTCTCTGCAAACAGGCCACAGTCTTTATAGCATCATTTATTTAGGCAGAGCTATTTGAAAGCTCAAATTTTGGGACGCCTAAACTTCTTCATGAAACATTTTCATTCTAACGATGCAAATATGTGAAAATTTTCAGAAAAGACAAAGGTCATTTTCTTTACCTGGACAAGAAAACAAACGAGCCATATAGTTTAACTTTTCTTTTATGTTTTCCAAAAGCTAAGGTGTTAAGGCCCTGTCACACTAGACAACTTATGAAACATTTTTTATGTCTAAATTGCTAATACAAGTTAGATATTTGATCAAATTTTTTTGAATTACATTATGTACACGCCAAGAATAAGCTTCCTGTTGATTTTTTCAATTCCATCTTCAATTTAGATGCCTTTAAAATGTTCGTAAGCTGGCATAAMTTTGTGACGGGGCCTTTAGATATAGATTTAGATATGAAATGGTATTGATTTTTAGAAGTGTTAAGTAAATTGTATTATTGTTGTTTTTATGCTACTTTGTTGTGTGGATGTAACAGGTCTCTCTTGTAAATGAGACAATGAGTCTCAAGAGAATTTCCTGTATAAATAAAGGATAAGAAGATCTGAACAACACGGTGTAATGTTCTGACTTTCTGATTTAAAACATCTTACTGAATTATATAGATGTAAAATATATGTACAATAATTTYTTTAGCTCATTGAAAACACTCTGACCTTCTCTTTGGTAGTTTAATGTGTTGAAAGGGGATGAGATAAAACAAAACAACAAACACAACCTTTTTACATTTTTAAAATATTTTTTGGATGTTTTTACTTTGATTTTATGCTGACTAAATAAGTACATTTCTCACAACAGGGCACTGTATTTTCCAGTAGAAAGCCTCCTCCCTGCWCCACGCCTGTGCTCTCTCCACCCATGAGATTTGTCCAAATGAATTTGTTAACGTGTCTGTCAGAGTCACAGACGGGTGCACGTTCTGACTGCTTCAGACAACTGACACTCCAAACTATCCAGGTTATTTAGATGTACAGCATGGCTTCTGGAGGCAGAATAGTTGAAACAAAATGAGTGGCTTTCTGAAGAAACAAACACGCTCACAAACGTCTGACCAGTCACACAATACTCTGCGCTTTTACCTGTGAGGAAAAGTTCAGCTTGTGTCGAGAAGAGGCGAGCAAACCTGCTCTGTAACAACAATGAGCAGATTTTTCTGCTTTGGATGGAGTATGGTACGGTGAATGGACATGTGGCCTCATAAATGGGCCCATTTCTCTCCACAAAAAGACACGAAACTTTAATAAAACCTTCAATTTCTTGGATGAAGGACACYAGGTTAGAAACACTCAGTGTTCTGAGCTTCTCAGGATCCATAAAAAGTTCCCCAATAATTCTTTTCCTTTGACTGCTCAGAGCCAGGCGGTGGTTTAAGTAGTGCAAAGAGTTAACGTCACAGGCATCACACAGACCATTGTCATAGAGTCCCATCACCATTTTGTGGTGGTTGAGCATTTGGATGGAACATGTCTGGTCTGGGGTCTGAGCTAAGCTAGGCTAAGAAGCTGCTAGCTCCTCCTCCATCACAAATCCAAACCTGGTTTTAACTGGTTTTTAAAAATCCTTTACAGGAATGAATCCAGACGTAACTTCTCAATGAAAGTCTTTTTCCTGACCTCCACACGTGCTCTTGTGATTGCAGGTTGCTGAGATGTACTCTAAAGTGTGCAAACCTGGAAAGAAGAAGAGAGCCATGCCAGGCTCCCCCCCGGCCAATCTCGGTTTTCGGACCTTAGGACGAGGCGACCGGGACCGAGACGGGGGTTTCAGCGTGGTGGTCAAACCCCAGACGTGGGCCCCTCAGGAGAGCAAGGCCGTGGGAGGGTCCCTGGACGACCACTGCTACGAGTCCATCGGCACGGAGGAGTGCGACGTGGCCTACGACAGCGTGGAGGGCGGCAGCGGCGCCTGGAAGCGAGAGCGGCCCCCCAACACGTGCGCCACTTTGCGGCCGAGGAGGAAAAAGGCCCAGCAGCCCCTGCAGCAGCAGCATCCTCCGCCGCCGCCGCCGACCCAGCAGACCCCCAAGCTGCAGCACCTGCCCGCCAAAGCCCTGCTGCTGCCGGGGGAGAACCTGTACGAGAGCATCGGCGACCTGAAGCAAGGCTCCGCCACCTCCAGCACCACCACCATCTTTACCTTTAACGATGGCATGGAGATGTACGTGACGGGGCTCTGAGGCGGCGGCTGCACTGTGACCCCCCCGCCTTTTCCTTCCAACACACAGAGCTGAGCTAACGCAGCGCGGTGTGACTGCTGGGCCCCCGTCACGCTCTCCCACACATACTGTTTACATTCAAGTCATGACATCAAGCCTTTCACAGGCTCCAGAGGCCTTTGGGTAGTAATGTTGATCCGTTATGACCTGGGCTGAATACAAAGTCCCATCTATAAACCTTAAAGGAATCCAAAGGTAGTGAATAAGAAATGAGCACAAAACCCTTGCAGAGCAATCTGTAGGTAACAGTAGCACTTCAGTTTTATTCATTCTTATGTGCAAAGCACAATAAAGTTAAAAACCTAAATTCTTCCTCAATTCTAGCGGGTAAAAAGAGCTTATATTTGGTCCAAATGGGGCCTTTATTATATAGAAAAGGCACAGCGTTGTGTCGGGTATTTTAGTAGCACTTAGTCTGTGGTGAACAGGCCTTCCCTGCGTTCAACTTAAACAATACAAAGGAGCAAATTATTAATCAAAAACGCTTGAAAGCTCAGGGACCACCAAAAAGTATTATGAGAGTATTATAAAATAAATTGCACACATTTTTGCATTCCTTCTACAAGCTTCTTGGGATTTTAGACCCATTTTCAAACCAATCCGATCAGAACCGTCTSTCCATTTGGTTTGGTTTCACTGGACACGGACTGAAACGCTGTCTTCTCCACTGCTGTCTGTAAATGAAGTGTTTTACTTTGTCGATCCTGTTTCTGCACTTTGCCTGCTACAAGTTGCATGCCTAAAAAAAAAAATAAAAAAAAATAATGAAAAAAAATTAAAAGTGGGAAAAAAAAGCTAACAAAAATCAAGCTCTGTCGTGTGGTTTCTCTATATGAATGTTTTTTTTTTTCTTTTTGTCGTTGGTTGTTGACTTTTTTTAAAAGTGTGTTGCTTTGTTTCTCTGTAGAGCTCAAAGCCAGCTTGATTAGGGATATTTGTGGCTCGGTGGGGCTCCGTGCAGCTGAGAGGAGGATTGGTTTTCTCTGCTGCGACACACACACACACACACACTACAAAATAAATCCACGTGAACTGTTCGACTGAACGTGGATCCAGTCCACTCAAACCTGTCTGCTCATATCTGTGGATTGTTCATCTCCTCAGCCCGGTGGTCGTATGAATCTGCTCGGGTTTAACGCAGCGTGGAAAGCTACATTAGAACTCGTGTGTGTGTGTTTGCAAAACACCCATCAGGCCATCAATGAATGCCATCATGATAAAAAATATTACAGAAATGACAAAAAAGGCCTCAGAAATTCATTCAAACCCTGAACAATAACAGCGACTTCACTCAACCAAATATCCGCCCCCCAAGGCAAACAATGTGATTATACTGTATGTTGATGCAACGTGTATGTACATGACAAAAAGAGAAAGATAATAAATATATCATCAGTGTCAAGAAATCTTATCTTTTTCTATTATGTTGAGTTGTGCTCTTTGGAATGACCTTTATTGTGACACAAACAGCTGCAATGTAAAAAATAATAATTTCAGTGTAACTCTTGTTTGTTGTTTTTTGGAAGCCATGAAGCTACCGGTGTGTTGTTGGGGGAAACAAAAAAGAAAAAAAAAGAAAAAAAGCCCTGCTAAGTTAAATGTGGCAGCTAATGTTGTGTGTTTGCTCTTCAGACTACAGGGTCTTGTATTCAAACAGCGTGTAATTAAGTGCTAAAGTGCAAAAAGATTGTAATGTTTTATATCAAGATTATTATTCATAAAATGTCGGTCAAGTTTATACTTTTGTAATAAAGTGGCACTTTAAAAACAAAACGCTTTATCTCATAGTCTCGCTTATTAAAGGAGGACGGAATTGACTCCACGGTTTTTGTCAAGTTCAAAGCTGCCTGAAGATTCCTATCTTTAGACCTTTAAAAGAAAAATTGCTTTTTATAGAAAACACAATGAATAAATCTTATTTTTACATCTGAGGCTGCTTTTCTTTTTTTTTTTACCCAACCTTAAAGCCTCATTTAACAAGTCTTTGTTTGTGAACCTTCTTTTTTTTTCTTTTTAATCTAAATGTGCACGTGCAAATGTGCCAGAGTAGTGGGGTCTGCTGTGAAGCGAGGAGGAGGAGGGGGGAAAGGGGAAAAAAAATAGGTCACCCCTTAAAACAAAAAGCTTGCAGTCGACATCGTAACCGTCTGCTGAATTTTCATTGGCCGGCCTGTCTCCATGGTAACAGGTTAACCTTGAGGCAGTAGTCACATGGGCGAGTTTAAGTCTTCTGCTGTCTTGGAGGATACGGCGAGCGTGGCGTGACATCCTTGATCACAGTGTCACCGAGGAGCAGCCTAAAAAAAAACAAAAAAACAAACACGCAGGAGCCGCAGATCCTCGTAGGTGTGAAGATGACACAAACATTCGCAGCTCGTGTGATGTGCTAATGTCACCGCGAGGAGCATGAATGGCTGAATAATGAACATGAATGAGACGCTGAGATTCATTGAAGGCTCGTGGCGGGGAAAAGACGCACAAAGGAGGAGAGATCACGCCGTAAACAGGCAGATTAACAGCGTGACGGGGAGTCCCAGCACCGAGGGCTCAGCAGCAACAGGGTGGAAACAAAAACAYGAGGCCGGGCGGGTTTACACTGAAAAACATCACTTTATCTGCCAGGTTTCACAGACACACAAAATCCAACCTCAGGAACATCATGAATCCAGGATTTTAATTTGACGTCTCTGTTTTTTCTTTTAAAGATATGCTTCAGGTAAGAGTGGATTCTGGGATGAGGATTGATCAACTGTCAAAGGAAAGTGCTTCTAATCTCATTGGAAGCACCTTAAGATGAGCAACACTGACCTCTGCAGGCCCGACAGAGTAACAC